ACTCGACAATTTACCATTTAGTTAAGAGCAGTTTCAGTGTATTTAGTTGGAGGTCACGTTGTTCCAGAAACTAGACACGACTGTTCATATAGCACTGCACCATCTTGTAAAGGCATTTTCCCACGGACCGACTGCCCATAAGGCCATTTTGACCCTTGCTGTTTGTATGGTTTTTAATTATGTCCTCAGTTAAGTGTTGGCGTGGGAACAATTTGCCGTTCTATCTTGTTTATTTTACCTGGATTGACTACCACCAAAGCTAAGTAAGCTTGTTCCTGAAGCAGTACTCTTGCTAGCCAATGTGGTCCACACTTACTCTGTCTAATCGTTCAGCTTGTATTCCACTCTCGAACTTCGAAGATTGTCATGCCCAAAAAATGTCCTTGGCCTGTTATACCATGAATCTGGTCTGCCGGTTACCAACAAGTCTTTAAGTAGATTAACGAACCATGTGGCCGTACAATCTCAGATGAAAAAATTGTTATCACGTTACTGGCAGAGAATTTTTGCTTTCATGATATGATACGGCAGCCAAAGTCGTTGTACACGCTGGAAATGCATGTTTTCTTTTCTGAATTTCTCAATCTTCTATGCGTTCAACCTCCCAAAGGGTTCTCTTCAAGATCTTTAAACCCGAATGAATTCTCAAATTCTGGAAAACTCATTTTGAAAAACGACAAAACGTGACGCGTAAGAGCTCTATGTGACCTTTTTCTCCCTCTCGGGTTTGACTCTGACAGCTTATATGGACAAAACGATCAACGCCATTAAGTCTTCTGTTATATAAAGAAGTACATTAATTACGACGTGAAGCTGTAGAGAAAGTGGTTCTCATAATTTATACGTGACACATGGGCAGATATTTGGACACAGGCCGTGTCTCCTAATCTGAATATCTAAAATTTCCTTGGGATTCTAGGGGCATCCATCGTCATCTCTTCCCAACAGACGACAGTGGCGGATATTTCCTTTTTGGATTTTAAGTGCAATTGGCCATGTAATCCGGGTTTAGTCTGTGTATGATTTTTTTGGCTAGTGGACAATCCAGCTTTTCATTATTAGTACAACCGATGGTCGAACAATCATTAGTGCAACCACCCATTCGTCAGACTCAGGCCATGATAGTCTTTATCTGGTTTTCGGTGGTCGTCGTTCATACGGTGTGGCAAGTTTAACTGCTTGACAACCTGTAGCCAGGCGGATGAATCTGTTCGTCTTCTGGAAGCTGTTGTTTTTCGTGGCCTTATTTTCCTTTTTACTGATGCTAACAAGGTCGACTTGGGGTGTTATTCATCATCGTTTGTAGAAGTGACATCCATATATGTAATTAGTGTGAACTGTTGTTCAGCCTCCAATTATAAGTAAACTGTTCAGCTGGTTTTAGCATTTTTCCAGCATTCCTTCGTATTTTGCAGTTTTTAAGTCCTGGTTCTTGTTTCTCAAGTGCACAGTCATCTTTTCTCTTTACTTTTCAATTATCATGTTTCGTCTAGTTTTATTAACTGCTTTTGTTGCCCATTCAAAGGATACCCTTTTACGCCTTACTTTTCGAAACATTATCCGAGTCTATTCCACTTTTCTTCTCAAGTTTTACCGTTGTTTCTATAGATTCTCCCGTCATACCGTGGCCTGGGCGTACCCTTGGCAAGGAACATGCCGAAGAGGAATGTGAGTTATGCGTTCTCATACATGCTAAGAATTTGTTGTTAGAAATACCTTAAACTGACTTGACCTTTTGTGCCTTCATGGGAACTTTTTTCTGCGGTATCCCTTAAAAGTTAAGAACTTGTAGGCTAGCCGCCATACATGACATCACATTCCTTACATTATGCTGCGTCTATTTAGTCACCTTGTCTGTTGAGTCTCATTTAAGAACTGTAAAATTGCCTCTGATTGATAACCTTCGGTGTTTCTCCTATCTGAAGGATGTTGGGACATTAGTTACCTCTGAAGGTAATTCGTGTAATATTGAGTATTCAACCCAAGCTGTGTATTATTGTCGTGCTTGCAAACGGGTTCTTTAGAATAAGTATTTCAATGCTAGGTTTCTCCGATGAGTAATAGCTTCGGTTTATTATGCACTTGTCGGTGGTTTATACAGTTAACAGCCAACTCTGTCGTTTAATTTAAGATGGAAGGGGGATAATCCGGAGAAGCAGGCCGAGATTTGCACCGCTATTAAATAACAGGTTTTGACGAGCGCTGAAGTTAGCCAGCCGTATTTTAATTGGCTAGCCGCTCTCTCCCAGCACTGCATATTAACATATCATTCATGCCATCCCTTCACTTCATTTCCTAAATACTTACTCTTCGGTTGTGGCTCGAACAAGAATTCTTCGGAATTTAGGAATAGACGATCGGGCGGTATTTATATCAGATACCGGAATAACTGATGCCCCGAGGAAAATCCTTGCCAAAATTGAATCATGCAATTTGGACAAGTGTTTTTCCAACCAGCGATCAGCAGACCTGCGTAGTGTTTGTATACGCAACATTGTCAGCTAACGTGTCACGATAGCTTAGGACCCGTGTGGCTCTCCTACAATCAGACTGTGGATACTTACAACCCCAGCCACAAGGATACCTGTGAACGGAGACGAACCAAAGTAGAATAGCAGAATGAAAATAGGGGAGTACGAAAAAGTCTGGCTTTATTCATTTTATAATTGGCGTATCAAATGTAAAACACGAAACAGAACCACATGTACTAAGGTGAACTTTGGTCAAGGCACTAGTTTAGCCTGATATCTCTCCCCCCGACCAAAAAGCAGAGACCATGGGGGGAAGAAGACGACTCGATCGCTGGGACAATACTTGTATTCGCCTGACGTTTCGAGATCTGTCGCGGATCTCGAAACGTCAGGCGAATAAAAGTATTGTCCCAGCGATCGAGTCATCTTAATTTCTTACTGGGATTCGCATGTTCGCTCGTAGAGACCAAGGTGTCAGCAAATTTAATGTATAGATTCGCATGTAACGAACTCTGGACGCCACTCTATTGTGAGGGCAGTACATATGAACGTGTTGTTGTTTGATAAATATTTCCTGGTTGTTTCTGTGGTCATCGCTACACGTTATAACAGGTGTTTCGACATTTTTCTTGTTAGCCAAACTGGTGTTGCCCTCTCAGTGTTGGGTGGGTAACCAAGGAGAGACGAAACGGGATCTTCCAATAGGAGATGCAGGCGTTTGCTGATGGCAGTAAGCGATACATTTTTCTTGTCTGCGAGTAAGCACTCGAATAGATACGGTTTCTTAGTCACTAGTGAACCCTATGCAAAGGTATAGATTGCACTGAAGGTGCTCGACCTCAACGGTCGGATCACATTTAGACGGGCGGACTTTCTTTATCGGCTAAACTCGGCCAGCAGAAATGAGTCACATGGGCAGAGTGGTCCCAGTGATCGGCTTTCTATTGTAGGCAAATATCCTTTCATGCGGTGTCGCATCAGTAGATGTGTGAAAAGTAACCTGGCTTGGTGTAGAGCGTCACATAAAACGGGCTCCCAGGAAGCCTACTTCAGGGGTTTGATTTACCTGTTTGACTGGAAGGTTACAGAACCATCATACTAGTCGCCATCGTCTTGTTGCGCAGGAAGAACTGAACATCGGTTGACATCTCCAGCTAGTGTCGATGTACGAGGAGAAAAATTATCATAAAATGTAATAGTTCAATCATTCCGATCGAGACAGGCAAATTCAGATGGAAAACGAGAATATATGTCAATAATCGTTGATAGATAATGTGTATGAGTCACTAGCGGGACTTTTAAAGTCGATCGAAAAGCCTTTATTAGCTGGCCTTGTGTTTAAAAGAACAGTTAGGGTCAAACCTCACAACAGGTTACGAACATCTTCCATCGAAAAGCAGAGCCATCTGGCTCTCAGAAGGTGCGATAGCCCAGTTACATCAGAATCACAAACTGGGTCGTCTAGTCCTTCCAGAACGATACTAGTAGGGCAGACCTCACAGCAACTACGGGAAAGCTTATTGGCTGCTCGCTTTTCTCCCCTAGCTCGATAAACGGTGCCGCAGTTGAATGGCGACAGTTCGAACCCTAACGGGGACTTTTTTGTTCTTAACTTCCCGTTTTGCTTATTACCGTCGATGAGGGCAATATAATGCTTATTTGTAGTGAGTTTGAAAAGATTACCGATAAAAAGTACT